GCGCTGTATTTCAGGGATCGCATCAATCGCTTCGTTAAATATGGGGACAAAGAATTTGGTTTATTATTGTTGTGTGAAGTGGTTGTCGGCAATATGTAAGTGCATATCAATTCAATTTGTATATCTGTTCAGCACTAATATTCACATCATGTTATTCAACCCAAATATTCAGTTTATTCAGGTTTTGATAACTTATGAAATCAGTTTAGAATTTGTTTACAGAATAAGTGTTTTTGTTTTTTAGATTCATAAAAATGTATTAATTTCAATCACAAATTGAGACTAATCTCAGCTAATTAAGTTATGAATATATCTCTATATTTCATTTTACTATTTCTATGCTAATACAATATTGTTTATTATAATAATTTATGGTAATATAGTAAATCAATGCACACCCTGTCCCTGTACAGTGCAGTACATCCATATAATTGCAATTTAGATAATTCTCATAATACACGTAATGCATTTAATCCATGATGAGATTTCTCTATTAATTTCTTGTGTTTTATAATTGTTATCCAAAATATTGTCTAGAATTTCTTATCTTATCTTGTTAGATATGTTTCTAATAAATGGGTTTAATTTTAAAGTATTCTAGATACACTGACAAATCACTTATGTTCGGTTTAAATAAAACAAAATGTTCTAGAGTACTCATTGATAATCCATTCAATGAATATATTAATAGTATCATCATATAATACTTTACATTATGTACATTTACATGGTGTATTGTACTAACATTTATATCTGTATATAATCTAATACAGTATTTAGTTAATTTGAGTTTTAACCCTGCCCTATGCATACATGCGTTATACATTTTTGTTAGACATCTAAAGGTATTTCACACGGGTATAAATGAAAGGTTAAAACTCAGGTGAATTTAACAGATAATACTATTTGTGCACATAATGAACATATTTGATGCCTTTTCTATTTAATACTGCTATTTTAATTGTGAATATGATTTGTTTGAAAGGTATCGCGTGTTTGAGAAGAAGTACTTCGTGGACGTGCCAAAGGGGTACGACTGTATTAAATGTTGCGGTAGGTATCAGCCCGACGTCAATAAATGCAAACTCGTGGGCTCAGGCGTTGTAGTGCCGACCGGGAAGACTGTATACGACGAGACACTGGAAGACAAGACCAATTTCGATATCAATC